AAGTAGTTTGAGAGATCAAATCCGTTAATTATTTACAAAATTAATATTATTGTAAATAATTAATATTAATGTATAATTAAAATTAATTAATAATTAATAGTTAATATTTATTAATATAGTAATAATTTGTTTTAATGTTTATTAATATAATAATTAATATTTTTATATAATAATTAATATTTATTTATTGTTAATAAGAGTTATAATTAGAAAAAATCACAATAAACTACCAAAACGCTACTCCAAGTAACGTATCAATAAGTCAACTTATGTTCTTCCAAACGTGTACCCAGAAAATAAGCTAGCTTATTTTTGTCAAACAATGCCTAAATAGATGGATAATTTTTTTTCCATGAGAATAATATGATTGTTTTGATTATGATATTATAAATATTTAGTTATGAGAAATAATACAATAATTTAAATAAGTTATCCAATAAGATGGTTGGTCTAGATGAAGTTTAACTACAAAGGTGTTTAATGATTGGTCTGAGGCATTTGTTGAGTTTTTGAAGTTGAATGTGTCATGTTAGATAATATGAAAGGAAGTGAACATGTTTTTTATTGCTTTTTGTGAATCTTTTCGATTTTTATATCCTAAAAATGTAACAATACAGTTTATAAAATACGAAATTGATTTAACAACTGATATGAAAATTAAAGAATTTAAATATATGACCCATTTATTAAAAACGGTTTGGACCCCCTTTTTACAATCCACTTGTTTTTTAGACCCACCCCCAAAAAGCAATTCATTGTAATATCATAATTTGAACCCCATGTGTATATATATATATATATATATATATATATATATATATATATATATAGAGAGAGAGAGAGAGAGAGAGAGAGAGGGTACTCAAGCGATTTTGTTAAATGTTTTATAATATAGTGTATATACATATACACACAAACAAATACAAGATTAGGTGTATCACATTTAACTCAAGTTGGCGATTCATCACCTACAACACACTGGTGGATCACCTAGTGGAGACACTAAACTTTTTACGACACAAGCATGTTCAAGTGATTGTCATCGTCATATTGACAAACGATAGTAAACGTGCAGAAAAAACGTTTTCATTATCTTATACAAAATATCATATTTTTAGAAAATAGAAGTGCGTAACCTTTAAAAGTGGCGTTTTAAATGTCTTTTTATAACCGAAGAACAAAATTGTCCCGACATGGTATGGAAGTCCATGTACTCCTCCATACTCCATGTGATCATTTTAAATTGATATTTTCCTTTAGTTTGACATCTCATATTATTCAAAATAAGAAAAAACTATTTGATTTTTTTTTTCTATCCTAAAACGTGTAAACGACTAGACTTAACTGAACATAAAGCATGAAATGATCCCTCAAGATTTATTTGATTGAAAGCGTCTTCGTGTTTTCTCTTTTCTGCATGATTTCCATTTTTCCAAGGTCGAATTTTGATATTTAAATAAAGCACAAGTTGAACTTTCAAATAATTAAAGTATAGTAGATCTAGGATCCATAAACACTTAATTAATTGTTCAGTACTAAGAAACTATTCGTCAAATCATCAAAATGAGGTGAGATGCAACAAATCCACCAACAAAAACGATAAATAACAAGTAATATATATATATATATATATATATATCAATCACTTATTAATGAGCATCTACAACAGATTATTCAAAATGGAAATTTTAGGGATTTTTGTTCAAATATATTATCCAAAATGGAAGAGGTATGAAATTTCCGACCACTTATTTTTATAATACAATTTAATATACTTGTAAATTTAAAATGAAATTTGAGATATTTTAGTTGTAGAATTAAAAAAGGGAAAAGTTTAAAAAAACTCAATGGATTTTAGTGTTTTGAATGATTAAGTACTTGGACAATTTTTTGAAACAAATAAGTTATTGGACTTTCTAAAACTTGTTAGATACATTCTTATGACCTATAAAACTAATTAACGTAGTAAAATAATGGAAAATACATGAAAAAAGCCAATGAACATTCATATTTTGAGCGATAAAGTCTCTAAACTTTTTTTGAACCAAACAAATATTTAAATTATATAAAATAAAACAAATATATCAAAAAGTACTTACATTTTATAAAAATTATTAATGAAATTTATTTTAATTAAAAATAAAAGATATTATGTCGGTAATTATTCAAATTTAAAAAATAAAAAAAGATTTAAAAAGATTTATTGGTTATATTTATTTTAATTAAAAATAAAATATATTCCGTACATGATTTTTTAAATTAAAAAAAATAAAAAAAAGTTTAAAAATGATTAGTGATGGAATTTAGGGGCTGTTTATCAAACACTTACCCGGTAAGTGCTTAACGGTAAAATTTAACACTAATATGTACTTATCGGGTAATATTTTAGTCCACCAAAACAACATCGCATGCAACAATTTACCCAGTAAGTGTTTACCATGGTAAGAGTCGTCGTCCTCACTTACCGGGTAAGACTCTTGGTCCTTGTCTCGTTCTTACCGGGTAAGATTATTGGTTCTTATTATATTCATCCGATGAGGTAATGTTACTTGGTAAGTGCTTACCCGGGTAAGCATTTGGTAAATGACCCCTTATTTTAATTAAAAACAAAAATATATTTTATCAGTAATCTTTTTAAATATTTTTTTAATCTAAAAAATCACATATATGATATATATTATATTTTTAATTAAAATAAATTTAGTAAGTAATTTTTAATTTTTTTTTCATTTTTTTAGTTTGAGAAATCACCGACATAATATATTTTAATTTTAATTAAAATAAATTTTATCAAAAATCTTTTTTAAACATAAGTATTATTTTGTAAATGTAAGTAATTTTTTGTTATATTTGTTTAATTTTATAGATCTAAATACTTTTTGGTTCAAAAAATGTTTAGAAACTTAATCGTTCAAAATATGAATGTTCATTGAGTTTTTTCAGACTTTTTCCATTATTTTATCATATCAACCAGTTCTATAGGTCATAAAGTTGTATCTAACATGTTTTAGAAAGTCTAAGAAGTTATTTAACATGTTTTAAAATGTCAAAAGATTTACTTGTCCAAAAAACTATCCAATGACTTAATTATTTCGAACATTGAAATCCATTGGTATTTTTTAAACTTTTCTCTTAAAATGTCATTAAATTTGGGGGGTGCTAATGGCACCCCTTATATGGGGGTGTTGAATGTGTTGGAAATTGGAATGAGTTTAAAATTCAAAAAACATCAAATCAATTTTAAAAATATATTATATTTAATTATTATTAGTATTTAATATATATATATATATATCAATTAATTAAGTTATATTATATAATTATATATATAATCTTTAT